CTGTCCATGGTGATACGTGAAGCCCAGGGCTAAAGAGAATAGAAGGGCTGGTTCACTCCTTTGAAGTATCTCTTGCCGCGGTCTGAAATAGAACACGTAGAGCACCTCCATNGCAGGAACCTCCAGAATATCGCAAAGCACATAAAAAAATAATATAATTTAAAATAAACAAAAAAAAAGGAAATTTTTTTTTGTTGAAAATTTGACCGTCCCTGGGATTTAAACCCAGGACCCATCCCTCCTGCAGCGAACTTGCTTGACTGGTGGCCTACCTTCCAGTCCACGGTGATACGTCAAGCCTACCACAGTTTCGCTTAAAACGCTCTCTTCTCTCCTCTTCGCAATATACCGTTAGAGGCCCACTGTGACCCCCCTAATTGGCCTATAAAAAAAAATTTAAACAGCCTTGTTTGGACCATAGACCCCTACCTAGGGTCCGAGTTTGAAAATTATACCTTGTTATTAAAGGTAGCTAGTGGGTCTTGAAATTTGAACCTTTCTCGAGCCATTTTATTTTTTCATTCTTTTTTTTTATTATTCCATTACGCTTTCTTTGCTGGACTTCACACAACGAAAACACCCCATGCATGCTAGAATATACAAAATGTTACAAAAGAAGTCAAAAAAGAGCAAATAAATTGATTTTTTTGGATTTTTCTATTTTTTCCCCATTTTCCCCATAAAAAATTTTTTTTTCCTACTTGCTGGAACTTCCAGAATTTCGAAAAATACATAAAAAAAATAATATAATTTAAAATAAACGAAAAAAAAAGAAATTTTTTTGAAAATTTGACCGTCCCTGGGATTCGAACCCAGTACCCCTCCCTCCTTCAGCAAACTTGCTTGTCTGGTGGCCTACCTTCCTGTCCACGGTGATACATGAAGCTTACCACATTTTCGCTTCAAAAGCTCTCTCCTCTCATCTTCGCAATATACCTTTAGGGGCCCACTGTGACCCCCCTAATTGGCCTATAAAAATTCTTTTCAGCAGCCTTGTTTTGACCATAGACCCCTACCTAGGATCCGAGTTTGAAAATTATATCTTGATATTAAAGGGAGCTAGGGGGTCTTGAAATTTGAACTTTTCTCGAGCCATTTTATTTTTTCATTCCTTTTTTTTTATTATTCCATTACGCTTTCTTTGCTGGACTACACACACAGAAAACCCCCCATGCATGCTAGAATATACAAAATGTTAGAATAGAAGTCGAGAAAGAGCAAATAAATTGATTTTCCTGGATTTTTCCAGTTTTTTCCTATTTTCCCAATAAAAAAATTTTTTTTCCTACATGCAGGAACCTCCAGAATATTGAAAAACATTTTAAAAAAATAATTTAATTTAAAATAAACAAGGAAAATTTTTTTTTTTTTTTGAAAATTTGACTGTCCCTGGGATTCAAACCCAGAACCCCTCCCTCCTGCAGCGAACTTGCTTGTCTGTTGGCCTATCTTCCAGTCCACGGTGATACGTGAAGCCTACCACAGTTTCGCTTCAAAAGCTCTCTCATCTACGCAATATACCTTTAGGGGCGCACTGTGACCCCCCTAATTGGCCTATAAAATTTCTTTTCAGCAGCCTTGTTTGGACCATAGACCCCTACCTAGGGTCTGAGTTTGAAAATTATGCCTTAATATTAGAGGAAGCTTGGGGCAAAGCCGTTGTCAGGATATTTTTTCGGGGGGGGGATATGGTAAGAAACAAGTACAGTTTCAGACAAGGCCGGATTTACGTATAAGCTAAATAAGCCGTAGCTTGGGGCCTCGAGAAGTCGAGGGCCCCCAGATCCTACCTTTTTCCCTCTCTTTTTTTAAAGTTTTATTCTTAGCTGGGGCTCTCAGAAGCCAAAAATGCATTTTTTCCCCTTTTTTTACATTGTCGGTCATAATAAATATAAATAAATGACTGAATAAAACTAGGAACTTCGTTGGGAACGTGTGATCTTTCAAGCAATTTGAGTATTAATAAATTATTTATGAATAAACAATTTTTTAGCGTAAAAGGTAAAAAAGTTTTTTTTTGCTCTTTCATTCGATCATCAGACTATTTAATATCTGTTTCTTAGGATCAGAATTCCCTTTTAATTTTCTTCAAAATTGTACAAATGAAATATTTAATGATTTCATGCGATATGCAGCAGTTTTAAATAGCACTTTAAAATATCTTAATAATGACTGAAACAGTCAATTTAAAAAACAATTAACTAATACTTTTGAATATGAATTTAAATAACTACGCACGTCTGTTTTGCTGTCTCATTTTATATAGCGTTATTTAGAGCAGACAGTTGCGTGTAGGTGTGATGATGGCGTAATAAAAGAGGTATACAAAAAGAGCAAATTTCATTTCAGTTAAAATCATCAATATTATATTTTTGAACTCCTCGAAAAATGTAGTAAAAGAGGTTCACATATTAACGTCGCAAACAAGTTAATATTAAGTAAGAACGAAACAAAAATGATATTGAAATATGTTGAATCACTAATGAGACAGGCGGGATGAAAGACATCGAAACCTATTTGATTGAATAGTAAAACTAGAAGGTGTTTCTAAAATTCTGTTATCTCTCAGGCTTTAATTTTGTTTTCTGTCATAAAATTTATCAGTAATTAAAAATAATAAAATCGTTAGATTTCAATATTGGTTCTGTTTTTTCGTTGATTAAATGTTAAACTTTAACAGATATTTGTCTTTTAAAACATTTCATTCTATAATAAAATAATTATTTCACAATTGTAATAATCTAAAACTAATTGCTAATTGATATAAAGCTATAGTATGTTCCATTAATATGTTGAATGCTCATTTTGGCTGGATGCCCGGGACTGTTGCTCCTTCACATCTTAGCCACTGTACACCATCAGGAGCAGAGTTGATACTTCAAACCCGTATCACATTTATTCTCTCTGATACTTAATAGACCCTTTAATAAATCCTTAAAAATATATGTCAAAAATTTACATAAATAATGACAATTTTTATTCTTGCACTAAAATTTAACAAATGCACTTAAAACAATTGAAAAGAAAGCAAGAATAATAAAGACATCAATTAAATAATATCAGTTTACGAAAAGTTCTTTTTATTTTTACTAACAGTATTACCACAATATAACGGCCCTCAACTACTCCAGGGGGTGCTAACAAGTAGGGACTACTGGATTGGGTTCAAAATGACAAGGTTATTGAATATTAGTAGTCGTTAACTCGGAATTGGGTCGGCTGTGCAATGACTGTTATAAAATAAACTAATAAATTTGATCGGGATAGCCTCGTTGGTAGGGCGTTGGACTCGTGTTAGTGAGAATGGGAGTTTGAATACAGTTGGCAGTAGAATACCCATGTATAAAATGGTGACTGGTGCATGTTAAATCTGTCGGGATCACAAAGTCCACCAAGCTTTCATAACAAATAAATACCTCTAGGTACTGATCCAGCAGTTACCTTGTCTTCTGGATTGGGTTTAAAATTACAAGGTTACGAAGTTAAACATTGTTAGCCGTGAACTCAAAATTGAGTAGGTTGTTCAACGGCGGTTGTAAAAAAATAAAACTAACAATCAAATTGTATTTTCTAGTATTCTTTCTAACTCTTTGCATATTTTCTACACACATTCAAAATTTCATGTTTCTAAGTCTTATAGATTTTGAGCAGCAAAGCAAAATGTGACGTAAAGAAAAAACAATTGAGAAAAAAATTCGCAAAAAATCATTAAAAATTGCAAATAAAAAATATTCAAAATGAATTTAGAAAAAAAAAAACTTTAAAATGTATAGTGGCCCTTCCAGCACGTCAAATTTTTACTCTGTGCTTAAAATGTGTTTCTTTTGTAGCTTTTTTCCCTCGTTCAAAAAATATGCGCAATAAAAGATAGGTTCTACATTATAGTCTCATCACAATCAATATATTTAACAATAAAGTAATACTATCAATTTTTTTAATAATATGTCAATACTCAACAATAAAAAATAACGACAGTTTACTTTAGGTGTATAGAAATAAAATTGAACTTATAAGGGCCCTATCATTTTCAGTAGCTTAGGACCCACCAAGCTTAAATCCGGTCCTGTGGTCAACCTATCAATTTTGCGTAACTGAGGGGACATTTAGTTTTGTCCTCTCTGTTATATGAGAAACTTTTCATTTTTTTCTCAAAAATATAACATAACATGATTGTACTAATAGACTTTATTGTAAAAACTAAATATTAAGTTAAAAAGTGTTTTGTGTAATGAATAAAGTAAACTTAAAAGAATAATTGTAACACAGGGGACAGTATATATTTGAGATAATTTTTGACTTAAAGAAAAAGAAAAAAAAATTTTTTTGCGGTGATCACAGCATAATTAGACTTAGGAACAGTTTATTTTACAATATAAATCAAACTATATGTAAAATCGTAATATTTTTAAAAACTTATTCTTCTATAAAATGGACAGTTTTTTGGTAGAATAAGTCAAAATCATAAAAACTCTCTACTTATGATAAATTTTACTTTAATCATGCATAACTCCAAAAAATAACTTTTGAATTAATAAATTACAACAAATTTCTTTTAAAATGATACCATCTGACAGCAAATGAAATTGCTTAAACTTTAAAAATTCATTACTGGTTTCAGTTGGCATGGAATTCAACAATATATTTATTTTATGCTTGATGTCGTGATTTTGTCAAACTGTTATACATTAAGAAAAAATTACTTTTATCAATTTATGTGAGTGTGTATTTCGGATCATATATATAGATAGATATAAAAGTTTATTTCACAGTAACAATTTTTTTTAATATGGGCAATTTTTCCTCATGCAACCTAAAAATAACAGTCCAAGTATGGTTCCCCCCTCCCCCAATAGATTTTATCTAGCGACCTAAATGGTTTAAATAAATTATCAAACAGAGCCTGCGTATTAGTAAAATTGCGCTAAACAAAAATGCTAAAAATGCCATTCTAGTAAACCGACCAAAAAACCATTCTAGTATCGACCAATCAAATGCCTCTATTTGTTAAACACTCGAGCAGCCAAGCAACAGCCTAGAATTTATTTCCTATGACAATGGACAGACCTGCCTTAAAAACAGCAGCCGGAAGCGTATATAAAACTTTACTAACACGTTCAACAACAAGTTTGGTGTTTTTGTTTTGTTTGACATTGCCTCAGAATAGTAATCTCTTAAAATTTGCGTCTAAGCATGAATAACAAGGCAAACTCAAATAATGAGTCTTCCTTACTTTTAAAGTATCCTATAAATTTATTTTCAACTAACTTAAATAATGATAATTTGTTACTACCGGTTGGTCGTCAAGAAGGTATTTATTAAGCATTACATTTAATTATTTTGCATTGTGTTCTGAAATAGGTACACTTGTAATAAAATTACAAAGAATATATGGCACATCAATATTTATGATATAAAATTAAATGCAAACTTAAACAAAAAACATAAGTGTTTATTAATTTCAAATAGCTTTATCATTTATAATTGGTAAATTTGATTTTACACATAATTATATTAGTTTGGATAATTTTTATGGACGCTAAATTTTGTTCTTAGATCCCTCTTTTCATGACGTCAACAGAAGTGATATTCCCGCTCCAAGAAAATGACATTGACTAAAAATAAAATTGTTTGCAAAAATTTGTGTATCTTATCTTTGACAACAATTTTGAAGTCAATGCAGAAAACCTCTAAACTCGACCATCTTCCATCACCAACTACTTTACTGTTAAATGGAGAGTGGTCTTACTGTATATATGTCAAATTTCTTCATCTATTGTATTTATATTGTAAATATCTTAATTTTATTTAGTTGAAATAAATGCCAATGTAAATTACTATTATAGATTATTTAATTATTTCTAAATCATTGCAATTATTCTAAATCCTTCGTTATTAATATACCCTTCCAATAAATATTAATTTTTTTCGGATGCCAAGTGATTCTGTTTAATGGCGCGTATATATTTATACATATAAGAAAATAAAGAATGAAAGGAATGCGAAGATTTCAAAGAAAAATTATGAATTAAAAGTAATATAATTTCTAATTACTGAATTCTAAATTACTTTTAAAAGAGAAAAAAAATTAAAATCGGAAAATTTAACAACAAAAAGTTGTCTTTTTATCAGCTCACATGATTATTTCAGCAAAATTAGTGCTTTCTAGGATTGTATTAATATAGTCAAAGTAAAATACATCAGTACAGGGAAGAGATTTTTCCTTATTTTTAGCGGATTTCCGCTTTTTTCACTTTTGTCTCTCGCAGTTCAGCCCTATTATCAAGAACTCCAATTCTCTAAAAATTTTATTTTTTTTAATAAATATTCCACTTTTTCCGAAAATTCAGCCATTGAAATAAAATTATATTTATTTCTGATTTTCAAAGATAAACAGAAAATTCAAACTACATAGCTACCAACCTTTCCGCATCTTAATTTTTACCCGCCCGCCAAATAGCTCGTGTTTTCATNTTACTATTCAAAATTATGAGTAAACATAATTTATATTTATTTCTGATTTTCAAAGATAAACAGAAAATTCAAACTACATAGCTACAAACCTTTCCGCATTTGTACATATTTTAGCTATTTTTTACGCGCAGAAGGTAAGATTTTCTTAATTTTTACCCGCCCGCCAAATAGCTCGTGTTTTCATAATTCAGACGTCGTTGCTTCCGGCAAGTCTTTTAAAAGTCTTAAGCCCTGAATCTGATAATATCTCGATTCTTATTCATGCGATTTGAATATCAAACATAGCTTTTCGTATTTAACAGTTGCGTGTTGTGATTCTCATTCACTCAATTTGAATATCGTACATTGCGATTCTTATTTACAAGATCTAAAACTCCGATATCGTAATATGTATTTTCTTATTTTTAAAATCGTATATTTAGTTTCATATTCATGTGATTTCAAAATCTATAATCGTGATTCAAATTCACGCGATTTTGATATCCCGGATCGCAATTTGTATTCACGTAATTTTAAGAATGATTATAGCAATTCTTATAATAAGTAATTTTTTTTTCTTGAGTTAGTTACAATAAAGGTGACTGTTTTTATATCGACGATTATTGGTATATGTAGGTGTTACAACATCAGCGAAACTGGAAGCGAATATATTCAAAACTTACATTCTGTGCTTTCAAAGAAGGAAAAGTAGGATTTGTTGGAAGATGGGCTAACGACTAAATATAGCAAACAAAGAAGATATAGCAAACAAAAGCAATCATTTAAGAAATGATTAAATTTTTATTTAGTTATTTATTTATTTTTTTTTTGAAAAAGAGATACTTAACTCAGGATCAAAATCCAAAATTTAAAAAATAATGTTGCTGTTATTTGTGCTATAAAATGCAAAATTCTTATCTAATTAAAAATAATTATCTAAACAGCTCCTGATTATGTAATTTTTCAAACTGAAATAGCAATTTTTGTATGTTAAGGAGTTACTATATATTTCTACTTCACAATTATTGATATGTTTCACAGGGCTCTAGTTAGATTAGATTATAATATGAACATAATGATTCCAATTGTAAAAGAATTTTGCTATAAATCACGTAACAGTTTTTGGTAAAAGAAATGGAATATTAATGTTTCTTCTCAGTAATTTTAATTTGCTAAACCATGTAGTTTTTCAAGTAATAATTGTCTCTTATGTGAACTAAATAAAAATATAATTTCTAGCTTTATTTTTTCAGTTGGTAATTTTTCTTTTTACTAAATGTTAAGTATTGATGTAATCATTTATATAATGATAAATTAGTACACAATTTTACGTCAACACATTGTTATTTATTATGTTTAACTGTCTGGAATTTATTATGAAACGTGTGTAAAATATGTGCGCAAACGTGTGTAATATAAAATTTACTCGTGTAGAAATTCTGCTTTTTTGCCTTTTGGCCAATCTCATCCCTGCAAAAGAGAGAGAGAGATTGATTCATAAATAAAATTTCATCAAGTAAAAATATCACAAAAATTTAAAATGAAACACAAATAGAAGCAAATAAAGGGAGAAAGGATGTCACATAGTTATTATTGACTAATTCTGAAAATGATTTAAAAATATTTTCTTAACTTAGTTACCAGAAAACAAAATAGAAATTAATACATCCCACCTGAAGCATGAATAGAGGTGGAATGTATTTATAAACACATTTTGATGTTAACAACTGCATTTGATTTGTCTGTTTTCTTGGATTACCTCGAAAACTAAATTTAGATAAGGTAATATATTATACTGAATAATTCAAAGTTATGATTAATAAAAGGTTGAATTTTAACACAACATTTTAAATTCAATGGATTTTTTTTGGAAAGTAATTATATTTGTTGAATAATAATAATTATTTAATAAAATATTGGAGGAGATTGTTGGTTAGTTATAAAATACTAGCCATAGATTTGTCCGAATTGGATTTGCACATGGAAAATTTTTTAATATAATTAGCTAAAAGATTTTTATGCAAATACATTCTTTTATTAATTTTAATACACAATTAACTCAATGGTTTTGTGCAGAATTTAATTATATTTGTTAAATATCCTTTGTTTTGACTCAAATTTTGGAAATGCACGTCTTATTTTTTTTTTGTATAAATATTACTGCAAATTCTTTTAATTCTATTTGTTTCAAAAAAACCGTTTAAATAAATGTTTTTAAAAACAGAAAATTTCATGTAATTAGTTTATTTATATTAAACTTAAAATCATTACTTTTATCTAATAGGTCAGTGTTTCCCAAAGTAGTCCATATGGACCCCCAGGGATCCATGGTACCATTCAGGGGGTCCGTGAAAAATAAAAACTGATTTAGGGGTCCCTGAACACCATCAGGGAGTCAGCGTGAGGTTTAATATAAAATAATAAAATTGTGATTGTTTTTTACTATTATGGAAATTAAGATAAATAAAATAGTATCTCTTTATTTCTTCACCAGGAAATAGTACTTTATCTACGTGTCTTCTATGTAATAAAACTATAACAAGTGATTCAATGAAACATCCCAAGCTTAACAAACAATTGATAAAAATCCATGGTGACAAAAAAGATAAAGATTTAACTATCTTTCAAACAGTCAAAGAAAAATATCTGAAAACACCGTCACTGTAACAACTTATAGGTACAGACCGCAGAAAAAAAAAGATATCACCCTGAATAACTTTCGTTCTAATGATCGGATTTTCACGAACTAAGTGTCAATCTTAATGGTTCCTGTGCGTAACCTCAAATATGCTAATTAATTAGTGCTAACTATTAATTAAGCTACAAAATCAGACACAATAACGTACTTTCTCTGAATAATTTTTTTTTTTTCATATTTGGATTGCTTATCTTCAAAATATTGGAGGTAGCCGTAATATGGGAAATGTGGTCCCCATAGTTTAGTCAGGAGAGCGATTCAAAGTTTGGACCCCTTAATGCTAATTTCGCTTTTTGCATTTTCAGTCATATTTTAAAAGCTAATGAAGCAATTCAAAAAAAAAATTGCACCCACTCATAAAACTCATTTTCCCAATGATAATTTTATGAAAAAAGTAATTTTTAATAATTATTTTTTATTATTTAATTAAAGTGAGGATGAGAAAATTTTGAATTATAAGGTATGGATTTTTTTATACCATATGAATCTACATATTTTTCAAGTGAAAAATACAAAGTTTCAACTGTTTTTATTTATTAGAAGATGAGAAAAATTAAAATTAATTATTTTAAGAAAAATAATTTGGCGGCAATGAAGAAATGATTAAATGGGGCGATTAATATTAAAATGTTATAAACTTTCGAGGAACTTAACTTAGCTCGCGTAGCATAAAATTTCATTCATATTTTTTTCGCTAATAATCGTTTGCTAATCTTTTTATTTTTTTAAAACTATAAAATACAATGTTTCTTTTTTAGTCGTATAAAAATCTATTTGCAATTTAGTAAAGAATTTTGAATAAAACATTTTATTGAATAAAAAGCATTTTATTCAACGAATGTCGAGTTTTATAAATGCATACTTCTGATAGAATATGATTATACAACGGATTGTGCTTATTTAATGTGATTGGTTTTTGTTTTTGAATTTTTATTTCTCAATAACTGATACAGTTTCAATAATATACTTACGTATGAATAGATTTGGTATAAAATATCCATTCATTTATCCACAGATCGTAATTTTGACCTGAATCAGAGAACGATCGATCTCTAATCCAGTACCCCCAGAGGTATTTATTTGTTATGGGAACATGGAGGAATTTTGCGATTTGACAGATTTAACGTGCATCACTCACTTTACTACACGGGGAGTCTTCGGTCGGCAGGGTTTGAACTCTCGGCCGCAAATTCAGTAATGCCGCAAATTCAGGCTTCTGATTATTTTTTTTTTGGTTCTGGTTTTTGATTATGGTAAATACTGCGAATTCAACTATAGAAATACAACTTTTAATTTTGTGCTTAGGAATGTTTGATTATTTTACTAATAAAAAATACAAAAATTTTACTTATTTTTTTCATATTAATAAGTTAATATTGTTTTATGAATAATGGTGAAATATGATTATTTAAATCATTCAAAAAAATTTTTTTATGAAAAAATTTTATAATTAAAAGAACGGATTTCAATTCTTTTATTTAAATCATTGACATCCTGCATGTCATGTATTATTTTGCTTTTTCTGATAATTTATTGTTCAATTTGTTGATTTATTTTCTTTTGTAAACATCTAATAAATTGTCTTTCAAGTATTATTAATACTACATACATATTATTTTTTCCAATTTTATATTTAACTAAAATAGAAAGCCTTGAAGTCAATATGAAATCATCTGATTCAACTGATACAGGAGAATGCAGAATGTCATCAGCTATTTGTCAGCTAGAGCAGCCTTTAATTTTTGGAGGAGTATCAAAGCCAAATCAAAGAAGCCCTCATGTTTCTACTATTTCTCAAGTCACTCATCTTCCTGAGTCTACCATACCACCAGTTTTAAAACCTTTGGAACACCCAGTTCAAGATAACCCAATTCTTTATTCTCAGATTGAAACTTCTCATATTTCATATGAACCTCAGTTCCCCACACTTTCTAATATCTCTTCACAAGTAACCACTCCACTTACAACAGAATACAAAAGCAGTTCTGAACCATATTTTAGTAAGCATTTGAAACAATAATTTTATACCTCTATCTTGTGTTGTTTTTTTATTTTTATAAGGCTTTAGATTGAGAAGCACTGCATTTTTGTGAGTAGCATAGTTGGAAAAAAATATTAGTTTTTTTTGTTGGATGCATGGCATATATAAATTTTTATTTTAAACCAAAAGATCCACCTTGTAGTAATATCAATACTGAACACTCATGATCAAGCTCTTAAAACAACTCTACTTTAATAATGCTAATTTAAAACTGTTACAAAATTTGAAACATAATAAAAAATAGACAAATAATAAAGCATGTTGTATTCTGAAGAGCAACAAGCGGTCAGCGTGATGTTTTAATTTCTACTGCTGCGATTCGACAGTGACCAGATACTGATATCAGCCCATCTAGTAGGACATTCTGTATCTTTCTGCATAATGCATCACTCAATGCTTCCTGAATTCCCTTGCTTTATTACCCTTTGCTATTTTTTTCCCAACAAAGAAAACATTTTTTTTTTAAATTCATGCCGTACACTTCAAATGAATGCACTTTTTGTTAAGCACATGCTCCATTATTTCCTGAATTACAACTTACTATTAAAAGGCATTGCGCTTTCTTTTCTATTCTTCTAACACAAATTTATTTCGATTTGGAAACTTGTTCAATTGTTTCTGTTCAAAAAATTTGTCTTTTTTAAAGTACAGAGCTATGTAATTCAGTCTACAATGTGTAGATAAAGATAGACTACTCTGAATAAGTATTTTATAATAATATTTAGATTCATAATAATATTCGAAATATTACAATTGTTTATAAATATTTAAATCTAAGAGAATATAATTTAAAAAAATTATAAATATTAATTACTTATACTTTTCATTTAAGTTTTAATTTTCTTTGACTTTATCCATTTTTTAATTCTTTCGCCTGCCTTTCTTTTTGAAGTAATGGGGCAGTTTCTATTTAGATGGTGAATTCTTTTAAAAAAGCTCTTAAACGACAGAATAAACGTATTGCTGTTTTATATTAATTGGGTTATTTCGTTTGCAACGTTGAATCCATTCTTTACATAGTTGCTCATTTACTTTAGGGAACATGTGGAAAATTATATATTTTCCTTTTGTGTTTCTATCAGAATTTTTGTAAGTTGCAATTGAGCAAACTGGCATTTTGTTAATAATTTAAACTTTTTGTAATTCACTTAAAAAAACTGAGGAAAATCATTATAGTTAACAATATCTTGTAACATTATAGTAAATAATGTCTTGGAATATGTTACAAAAGGAAATGCTGCAATATTAGTTAGAGCTAGATAGACCAAACACTATATTTTCCAAGTTAAAATGCAATCCTTGGGCTGCCGTGGTGTCACACGAGAAAATCGGAAGTTTTGCATGGCGAAAGTTTCTTCAAAGGAGTGAACCAGCCCTTCTATTCTCTCTTTAGCATTGTTTATAACAGACTTTCATTGTACTTTCTTTAAAGAAACATATCTATTTTTTAAAGACTGATTCATATTTTTGACTCAAGTTGTAAAAGTAGCTTAAAAAATGCAGGCTAAATAGTGTAATTAGGAAAGCATTCGAGCTTCTAAGTGTTAATTTTACTTTCTGCATTTTGCTCCAGGCATTGTTTCTGATCTTTTTTTTTTATTTTTTTTACACTGAATTGAGTGAAACCAATTTTGAGAATTATCTAAACAGAAAGTATAAGGGTCATCAAGGATATATCGATCTAGAAGCTATGAGGATTTTATTTAGAAACAGTACAAATTATGTATAACTGACATAGCTATTTAAATAAATGTGGCATTGTTTCCTATGTATTTTTTCATATTGAATCAATTAAGACTGTACACACTAGTCCAGGGATGGCGAACCACTGGCACGCCACCGATCGCAATTGTTATTACACTATGAATTGTTATTACACTATGAATTGTTATTACACTATGAAGCATATGTAAAAATTAAATTAAAATTTACCAAAACAAACAAAATAGTAAACAATTATTAATAAAAAAAAATTAACAATTAATGCTAAAAAAACAATTAATAACCATAAGAAACAAGCTAAAAATAAATAACTAGCAAAAAAAATAAATAACAGTCCTGCTTAAACTAACATCTTACAACTTAATATAAGTTATTTGCCATCTAATCTGCAACAACAGAAGTCACACTGATGTTACTTTAAGTTGTTTTAAGACATGGCAAAATGTTTTTTTTTTTTCAATGTAAATAAAGAGTTTTGAATTGATAGTATTTAGTAATATTATTTTCTCGCTAATCACAAAGTCAAAATTATTTAAAGGCACGTCTATGACCTCATTAAACAATTTTTAGAAAAATTGGCACTTTGGTGTATTAAGGTTCGCCATCCCTGCACTAGTCAATGGAAAAAATAGTTGAAAATCTATAATTGTTTCTGTGCATAAGAAGTACTTCTTATGACATGTGCTTCTGTACACTTATTACATTGCTGAACATGTAATACATATTTTTTGCTGCAAATTTTTTTTGTTGCTAAATTTTCTAAATTATTTTTTTAGCCTCTGCACCCTTGGTACCTAATAACTACACTGATACTTCTTTATCACAACCTTGTGAGTTTCAAGTTGGATCTAATATTATTCAATCTCAATCCAGTCATGATTTTAGTGGTAATGCTCAAGAAACTGGACAATATTATTCAGAAAGAAGCATTGATCCACTCCAACCTTATTGGTTTTTTAGTGACTTAGTTGAATCAAAGGAAATTTGGTATGGATTTTGCAAAAAGGATTCTGAGAGATTGGAAGAAGCTTATCAGTTAGGTATCACTTTTCTTTGTTCTATATAAGAGACTTATAACTAGCATTATCTATACTTTAAATTAAATTTTACTTTCTTCCATGGTTTGTGTATAAGACTGAAACAAAAAAAAAATGTATTTTCCATTAATTCCCCCCCCCTTTTTTTAATGATTTTTCCCAACTTCCAATTTTTGTATGATTTTTATCAGATTTCCACCATTATTTGATAAAAAAATAAAATTGGATATCGCAGAATTAATGATTCGACTGATAGTCCAAATATTTCCAACAATCTGTCCCCTTAGGCAGATCTACCAAGAGAGGCTTAAAGAAATTTAGCATCTACATGCTTAGTCCTATTGTTCTCTACTGAGGAATTTGAACAATTTACATCTCCTTTTTATCGCAAACCAATTTATTTAATTTTAAGAGATAATAAACTTAACATTTTGCCTTTCTCTAATATATTCTTAATCCAAATTGAAGTTTCTGCCATTGCTATGTTTTCAGTCTCCATTGTAGATAAACTCTTACATTTTGGTTAGGTCGATCTCTAGGAAGTTTGTATCTGATCAATAAAAATTATCATACCATTCATTGAGACTGTCATTTCTATTTGTAGCAAGACCCATATCTTAGAAACAATTTAAATTTAACATACTAATTTTATTTAAATTCAATATATAATTTTCGATGTCATTTGAATAGACTAATAATCCAAACAAAATATTCCATTGTTTAATTCTAGGATTTTCTTGGAATTCCAATGGCAAATTGATTGCATAGCTAAAGTTCAATATGCAATAAAAGCCCAACTTCCTAGTATGTTTCTGTAGGGAAATTTTTGCATCTGATCTTCTACACTCATGTTTAAACAATCTAATTTAGTTAGAACTATACCTGTAGTGATGAATGAGGAAAATTAAATTTAGAAAAGTTTTGACAAATTGAATCAATTTAGAAAACTTTTGATGTATAAAATAACCATTTTCAAAAAATTCAATACCTGGTAACTATTGAATTTTGTCTACAATTTTAACATCAAAATGATTATTTATCATAGCTGTAATTAAATCCAATTCTACTTCAATTTTTCTGAAAATTACAATGTCATCGACATATAAAAGCAGTAATACACTAAATGTAAACATATATGCTTAATTACTCCAGTGAAATTTTACGAAACCAAGTTTAAGTAGAACATTATAGATTTCCAAAAACCTTTCTCTACCGCTTCATTGAAATTCATATAGGGCTCTTTTCATTTTACATAGTATGTGCTAAGGTGTAATCTGTTAACGTATTATTTCTTGATATTTAATCAATTTTAAATTTATTTGTTTCTAATACTAGTGTATTACTAATAACATAACTTTAAACTTATTAAAAATAAATAAATAAAACTCTGCTAAAACTTGTTTTTACTAATGCAATTAAAATCTAAATTAGTGTATTCAGTAAAAACATTAAATTTAGGTTCAGACTCTGTCATACCAACGGATGGTGGTAGGTGTGATGTTTATCTCAATCAAAGGAAAAAGACGTTTGTTTATTTTGATTCTAAGGAACTGCAAGTGAGACGTTGCACTTGGTTTCATCAGCAAGGGTCTTCAATGCGATTCATACCTTATGATGAAAATACATCTGCATGCCTTGAAGTATGTTTCCATTGATAAATTTTTTAATAATTATTCTTTCTTAATCATAATCATCAAAACCCATAGTATTTTGTCAGAATTCCTTTAACCATTGCCTACTGATCAGATAAACTGTAACTGCGAGGAGAATGCATAGTTCATGCTGAAAGCCAGCATAATTGTATGTAAATTAAGATTATCCCATAGTGCATGAAAATCATGATCAACTGACATCAAAAGGTAACACAGAAATGAAACATGATCTGTGAAGGATAACAAAAATCAGAAAATGAGCATTAGAACTAAAGTGCAAGTGACAACTAAACTATTATAATTGCATCTGATTTAAAAATTTATGCAAATCTCAAGTCATAACATAGAAAAGGATTTAAGTATGACTTAGCCCGCATGTTTTTTTAGCATGTTCTCATATTTTTTAGAATGATTTTAAATTTGTGAAAGATTTTAAGAACCAGTATGCTAGTCTTTTAGTTTTTAGCACCAGAACAGGCATACTGGTATATTCCCATCATTAGTAAAACTATTTTGAATTCAATATTAAGGTTTTTGGAGGGAACACTTTAAAATATTTGGTACACTTTCAATTTCTTCCCTATTTAAATTTTGATGTCTTTTTATATGTTTTCATGAAAAATTTGTTAATTGAATTAGGCAATGAATTTAAAGTGTTGCATAGATAACATTTATCATGGTTTCTCCCATGTGTAGACAATCGCATATTTTTATAAATCTTATTTTTCAATCTTCATATATCTTGCTACTGGGTTAAGCTTTCTAGGTCTTGCTACTGATTTCATGAGAGGTGAAACTGTAGGCAAAGTAAATGAGGAAACATGCTCGGTCTTATGGTAGAATTTAAAAGATCAGTTCATGACACATTCAACAAAAGAACAACAGCAAAGTGAGACAGAGAAGTTAATATTTCAGTGGAACATGCTTCATTGCATTAGCAGCATTGATAGAAGTACATCAGAATTCAGTGTCCAAAGAAGAGTGGTTCTTAGTATTATAATTACATAGATTACTTTTCAATTGTCCTACTTGCTGTTGGAAACACAGAATGGCAATTTTCTATTATTGTAGTTGGTGATTATGGATGCAACAGTAATTCATGGATATTGAAGAATTCTATTCTTATTCAACATCTTCAAAATAGAACATTAGAAATATCTGTCAGATGTGTGTATCTAAAAAATTCAATTAACAATGATGTTAAAAAAATTCAATTAATGATGTTAAAACATTCAATTTTCCTTACTTTTTTGTTGGGGATGAGGATTTCCCATTAGAGAAAAATCTTATGCAGCCTTATCCAGAAAGAAGTTTAAATAGACAGAAGTTTGGCTACAATGCTAGGCTCTCTCGTGCTCAAAAGATATTAATTGTACTTATGGCGAACTTGCATTAAAGTTCCGGGTATTTCATGGGCCAATTGTTGAAATTTCAAGAGTTATAAAAAATTTCCAGGCAGCATGCATTCTCCACAATTTCATGCATGATAGGAAATGCTTGCATGTTGCGGAAGGTGAAAGTTTCCCATTTGGTGGTTCTTGTCTAGAACATCTCGGAGTTCATGTTTCCAACCACAGAGACTATTAGACCCAAGCCAAATCACGAGAAACTACTGACTACTTATGTTTCCACCAGCATAACAACCTGGTGTCCGGATACTTTTGGCCAGATAGTGTATTAATTACACTTAAAATTTCTAATTGATATTTTCGTCTTTGCTCTAGCGGGAATTGTTTTACCTGGCTGCAATATTTTTTTTAAAAAAAGAGGCAAGCCCATCTGTGTCCTCTTTTGTCTGCCTCTTTTTAAAAAAAATTTTTATATCTTCCATACTGTCCTTTATCTTTTTTTCTTTTTGAGGGCTGGTTATCTGTAGTAATGTTGACTACTTTCTCAGAAAGAGTAGTCATTATCATGTGTGTGTCATTTAATGACACATTTATGTCAGAGCTCTTAGAACCACAGTAACTTTTTTCCTGAGGTACAACCTTTTCAACTTCTGATATGGTCTTAGCCTGCAGCATGATGATGTAAAATTGATGGTCCAAAGTAGTGTTCAGGTGCATTACCCCCACTGAAATTGTAGGTAAATTATTTTCCAGTCTAAAGTGGGAGAAATGCAATATTTAGACAAATACAATATTAACTATTTTATTCTTTTGTAAACAAGGATTGCTAAAGATAAAGCACTCTGTAGTTTACCATCCCAAACTTATATGTTTTAATAATATTGCTAACCTTTGAACATTTTTAAATGTTTTATTGTACATTTGGTAAATTTTGTTTGTATAATATTGGATGCATTATACTATATTAATGTTTAAAAAATTACATATAATTTCACAAATTTTAAAAAAGGCAGGCATTTGACTTGGATAAACTGTTCAGAATTATTTTACTTATCTGTTTTGTAGGTGTAAACATCGTCAAGCAGACATTATTGTAAATAATTATATTGTATAAATTAAAAAGTTAGACTATGAGCAATTAATATTTGTTTTAAAAAAATATTTGCGAGACAAGTAATTGCAAGAATTGTAAAGAAAAAAATAGTAAGTTGGTTTTAATTATAATATACAAATTAAAAACAATTACAAAATTGAGACTATGAGTGATTAATTTTCATTTTAAAAGAATATTTGCGAGACAAGTGGTTGCAAAAATATTAAAGAAATAATAAGTGAGTTTTAATTAAAATATACAATTAAAAAATAATTAAAAAATTTGGAATATTTTATTTAGTATAAAATTTCATGGATTACACTATCATGTATTTTTAGAAATCAATAGAATTTACAAAAAAGCGTTCTATAAAAATTATCAACCTGTTACAGGCTCTGTGGATGTAGATACCAATTTGACTGTATCGCTTCAGGCTTTGAATGTTATATTTCTGTTGAAATAATTTTTGTGTGTGTTGTCATTTAAAGCTTTTTGCTTTTCATCTTCTGAAATAAGCTTCATATTTAATTCTGGATTTTCCTTTATTTTGAGCAAAACAAAATCATGTCTGAAGAGGAGACAAAAATAGCATTGAACTTAGTCGAGAGGTAAGAGTAATTTGTAAGAGTAATTTGCCTCTTAAATGGCAAAAACTCTTCTCTCCCTCAATGATTCTGGAGTCCTATGGGGGAGAAAATTTAACACACCTTCTATATCCCTCTCACTTCCTAAGTGTATGGCGGGCCTTAACGTTTCAATAGCAGTATCGAACAACTAAGAAATGAAATGAAGCACAATAGCTTTAGACCTCATTAGTTATACCCAATATTGTTTTCAATTGTGAACTAAAAGCTCTTTGAAGGATGTAAAGCGTATGTGACTGAGAAAAAGGTGTATATATTTGAAGTGAGTGACAGGTTACCTAACAATGGCAGAATTTTTTTTTTGTAAGAAAAAAGATAACTTGGCTGCTGGTTGCTAACACCTGTTTGATAAACACTTAAAATTAAAATTATTACACTAAGATTATTCATACCAGAAATAACTAAAAATGTCTTCCATTTTCCTCTATTTTGTATACTATTCCTCATTTAAACTGCAGAAAAAATTTTTATCTCTCAAAAAAAATTCTTTTTGTATCTTTAATATTAGCATTATATTTTCCTAATATACTGTACAACATCATTTAAATCTAGCTTTTGCTGTATACACGCACAAATACATTCTATTGACATAAAGTTTTACATTCATACTCTTGTCTTTTTTTTTTAAATTTTTTTTTTCTAAAGTAGTACTTTGAAATGAATTTTTAAAAAATTTCATTACACTGAAGTTCCTCTATGTCATTTTATCCAGGAGTTTTATCATAAGTGGATAACATCTGGCTCTCAAGACATGCGATTTGTTATACCTGGGATTATTGGAAGCTTTCTTTTTGAGAAACCTTTAGTGTTGCTACACTATGGTTTTGATGTCAGTGTTTGGAATGCCCCTAATGTAAGTTTAAAAGTTATTAAATCTGAATGCAAATAATGTCTGTTGTTCAAATTTTTATTATTTATAATTGTTTTTAAAAAAGTTTTGAAATTTGAATGCATTTGTATAATTTTTTATTGTATATTGCTAGAATTTTAAAGAAAATTTAAAATTTTAAGGTATTTATTTTAAATTTCTTTATTTTAAGGTAAGTCATGAAATGTTAATCTATTTGTTTTAAAGTTCTGTATATTTTAAGTTTTCTTATATTTGTTTTAAAGTTTCCTCTAAAGAAACTTAAGAGATTTTAATGTATTTGTTACAGGTGTCTAATGATGCATTTATTTAAACTTTTGTGTGTATAATGAAATTTTACTTCTTTCAGGAACCCAAAGGAAGTCCTAAAATTGTAAAGCGAGGACTGCCGGAAGGTGGCTTTCAAATTATGCCAGATGAATCACCCAAAATAGATCACCTACTTTTTATTGTTCAAGGCATTGGTTCCTTTTGTGATCTTCGTTTTAGAACAGTTTCAGAATGTGGTAAAAATTGTTAATATTTTAATAATATTTTAAAAATAATATTTCAATAATATGTAAAGATTCAGCTTTTACTTTAATCTTTTTGTGGAATCTAACTTTATTTTAGTGGATGGATTTAGGGACATTGCTAACAAATTGATTAATAGCCACTTTGGAAAAGAAGTAAAACAAGGTTGTGTTGGTAGAGTTGAAATTTTACCTGTGGCATGGCATGCTAAATTACGCACTAGTGATATCGGATTAGATCGGTAATTTCTTTTTAATACTTGTTATATTTGGAGTCAAAATTTATATGATTTACATTTTATTCTCAATATATATATAGTTCTTTTTTTTAACGTTAAACCTATCTGGATTGCTTTACTGTTACATAAAAAAATTTCTGTTATTGTTACACAAAAGATTCATAGAGAAGAAAACTTCTAAGTTTGGTTTTTTACTGAACTATTAAAGGTTAAAGATGAAATAATTATTGTATGTTTTTCTGTCATAAATTAAAATCTGTCCACTTAATACTCTAGCTCTCTTAAAATTTTCTTATTCAGTGCAAAGTCCCACATCCTAATGTCAGTTTACCGAAAAGGTCTATTTTCCAGACTCTTATAACCCATCAAATAAACAAATTTAATCTCCTTTTTCCCAAAAAAATGTGCGATTTGTTTAAAAAAAAAAAGTACGCAGGGATGAAAATTCTAAACTTTTATGCTTTTTATGATTTTTGCACAACATTCGATTTTTGTTTGATATTCCTCCAATTTCCACTATAATATGATAAAAAATTTTGACTATTTGATCTATCTTTGACTTGACTGATCTTTGACTTTGATTACAGATGCATTTCACTGCGATGCAAAAAAACCTTTTTTCTCTCGTCTCGGACAAAAAGATTACTATCAGAGAGAATCACACTCTCAGTTTCAGAATGCACAAAACTGAAGTAAATATTTTGGAAAGATCACGGATTTGAAAAGAAATTGTTATAACTAGAGCACATGATAACCAAGGCGGGATTTATGTATAAGCTAGATAGACTGCAGCTTAGGGTCCAGAGAACTGAAGGTGCCTCCAAAATGAATTTTTTTCTTTTTAAGCTTAGCCTGAAGCCGTTAAAAATTTGCGCGAGGGCCTCCAAAATTCCTATATATATATAATGCAAAAATTATAAATACTTTTGTATTAATAAAAGAATTAAAACACTTTTGGTTTCATAAAATGTCTTTGTTAAAGAGTAAGCGTAGAGATATTCTATTTTGGGAATTCAAGGCTGAAAACATACCATTGAATAATAATTAGATTTATATTTGAAAGGAGGAGTTATTTTTAGAATCTTGCCCCTCTTTCACTTCCATATTAGAAAGCATTAAATGATTTTCCATAATGCGTAGAGTTACAAAGGTATGTACGACTGGAACCTAATTACATCATTCTATGTAGTATTTAATGCAGGACCGAAGGTTTTCGCATGTCTCTTGCTGAATAACGTGTTTCAATAAAAATCTGCCGGAACCATCCAGAGTCTTGTCCACACCCCCTTCCTTGTGGAGTGGAGATGTGAACTGTTATAACCACCAGCATAACTTTAAATAAACCTTTTTATAACTTATTATGGATTTTGACTGCATTTTTAAAGATGAATACACCAATGATAACAGGGATGTAGCCCTGTGTTATATATATATATATA